AGTATGCATCGTGTGATTTATACGTCCTCACGCATATTTGCTTGCGATTCCCGTTTACGCAACTTCTACTGCCATTATGTGTGTCCTTTGTTTATCTTCTCGTATGCCCATTTAACAATTCACATTCGAATACAAACATCTATTGATGCTAGTTGAGTAGCAAAAGAAATATATACACTATGTAAATTTGGATTCGTCGGAACCGCGCTGTATATTGGAACCAACCTCACCGTAATACTATCATTCTTGACCTGTTTCACCGCGCGATCCGTGCGCTGGACAAGGCTTTGAATTTTCATTGGTGGGTGTTTTTTTTTTCTTGACCTGTTCCACCACGACAAGCGCGCTGGAACAGGCTTTGAAACCCATTGGAGATGTGGGTGTATTTCTCTTTTGTTTTTTTTTTTCCATTTCGGTTTGGGTTTGGATACCTTTCACACAACCTACAGTAAAATCGAAGAGATTTTACACTAGTAGGAGTGGTCAGAATACACCCTTTATGGTTCGATATGTTCCTACTTTTGTTTCTACTGCCCACAATGTTACAAAACATTGTGTGGGTGGGGTTGGGTAGCTACCCGTCCCATCCATCCCGCTGCTGCCTCAGCCCAAACCGTCTTCGGGTCTACTCGAACCTTCTTCCCTCATACCTACTATGCAGCTAGAATTACAGTCACAGCCACCTAATCCGCTGCTGTGTCATTCGCTAAGGTCCTAGTCGCGTGTTTGTTCGTGCGCCTCGCGGTCGTTAGATAGTCGTCGTCCTGCTCGCCTCGCGCTGCACCCTGCGCAGCGCTTTCGTTTAGCCGTCCCGCGCTTTTTCTCATTAGCGAATATCGCGTTTGATGTCCGTTTAGTTTGCAGCATGATGCGATGTCATGTCACACGGGTCGCTGCGCGGAGCGAACGCACGTGCGCGCGAGGTGGCTCGGTCGGACCTCACCGTCGAACGGTCGCGAAATTGTCGAGCAACGCACGTTTTTACGTTTCTAAGTCCCTCAAACAGGTCGAGAGACGACTGCAGAGACGAGTGCATAGACTGCGTTTCTTCTCTCACCACGGCCGCTCCTTCCTTGCCTCTCTCATTGTCATCGACCTCGTCCTAGTAGTCCTCGCCACCACCGATTACGCCCTGCTCGCTTCTATCGAACAGCAGCGCTGATCTCTCTTTCAAACTATCAGCACCTACTCGCTGTGTTAGAATGAAATCGATCTCCCACAGAATAGTTGGAATCAGAGGTGTTTCTTTCTCTGCTGCCAGACTGCGTTTCTTCTCACCTTGTTCGTTCCACCCTTGCTCGTTCCGCACTTGCTCGTTCCACCCTTGCTCGTTCCGCCCTTGCTCGTTCCCCACTTGCTCGTTCCACCCTTGCTCGTTCCGCACTTGCTCGTTCCACACTTGCTCGTTCCGCCCTTGCTCGTTCCCCACTTGCTCGTTCCGCCCTTGCTCGTTCCGCACTTGCTCGTTCCGCCCTTGCTCGTTCCGCACTTGCTCGTTCCACTTCCGTCATTCTGCCCTTGTTCGTTCCTCCGCCCTTTCTCCTCGTTCCGCCCTCCCCCTCGTTGCGCCCTTCCTCCTTGTTGCGCCCTTCCTCCTCGTTGCGCCCTTCCTCCTCGTTGCGCCCTTCCTCCTCGTTCCGCCCTCCTCCTCGTTCCGCCCTCCGCCAGCCCCTATGCTAAAACCTCTCCTTCCCTCCGTTCACCTCCTCTCCTCGGAAAGGTTGGGGCAGACTCGGCGCGCCCTGGGCAGATTTTTGAGGCACCTCATAAAGGGTTGGGGCAGACTTGGAGCGCTCTGGGCAGACCTGTTGAGGCCAGTGAGGTGAGGCCCCTCGCGCTCGCTCCTATTGCTCCTCACTCACTCACGTGCTCTGCTCCCCTCCACTCACCTGTGCTGCACCCTAAACCTCTGCCATGGTTTCTAAACCATCCGCCATGCTGTCACACCTGCCATCCCTCCCCACCCCGCCTTGTGCAGAAAGGTCTTCTCTCCTTTCTGCGGGGCACCGTGAAGAGACCTTCTCACCCCGCCAAGACACGAGACATACTTACAAGTAGGATATTTATTAGGACATGCACCTTGCTCTTGTTTGTATGGTACTTGTGCGTGTGTCGATATAAGAGTTGCGGGGTGGGTTTGGGCTAGGCACGGGGTAGGTTTGGGCTAGCCTTGGCCCCTACAAGCCTGGTTACTGTTCCCGCTGCCCGGTTACAGTTCATGCCGCCCGTCACTGTTCATGCCGCCCGTCACTGTTCATGCCGCCCGTCACTGTTGATGCCGCCCGTCACTGGTCGTGCCGCCCGTCACTGGTCGTACCGCCCGTCACTGGTCGTGCCGCCCGTCACTGGTCGTGCCGCCCGTCACTGGTCGTGCCGCCCGTCACTGGTCGTGCCGCCCGTCACTGGTCGTGCCGCCCGTCACTGGTCGTGCCGCCCGTCACTGTTCGTGCCGCCCGTCACTGCTCGTGCCGCCCGTCACTGCTCGTGCCGCCCGTCTCTGCTCGTGCCGCCCGTCTCTGCTCGTGCCGCCCGTCACTGCTCGTGCCGCCCGGTCACTGCTCCTGCCGCCCGGTCACTGCTCCTGCCGCCCGTCACTGCTCCTGCCGCCCCGTTACTGTTCATGCCGCCCGATTACCATGCCATGCCATGTCCTCGTGCTCGTTTCCGCCCTTGCTCGTTTCTGCCCTTGCTCGTTTCTGCCGACAGTGACGGGCGCAGCTGGGCAACGGTGCGGCGAGGCTAAGGCGAAGCCAGTGAGGCACGAGGTGAGACAACGGTCCCCACTCTCCTGGCCCCCTTCTCCTATGCTCTCACTCTCCTGGCCCCCTTCTCCTATGCTCTCACTCTCCTGGCCCCCTTCTCCTATGCTCTCACTCTCCTGGCCCCCTTCTCCTATGCTCTCACTCTCCTGGCCCCCTTCTCCTATGCTCTCACTCTCCTGGCCCCCTTCTCCTATGCTCTCACTCTCCTGGCCCCCTTCTCCTATGCTCTCACTCTCCTGGCCCCTTTCTCCTATGCTCTCACTCTCCTGGCCCCCTTCTCCTATGCTCTTGCTCTGCACTCGTCGTTCCCTTGCTCTGCACTCGTCGTTCCCTTGCTCTGCACTCGTCGTTCCCTTGCTCTGCACTCGTTGTTCCCTTGCTCTGCACTCCTCCTCACCCCCCTGTTTTCCCATCCCCCACTGTTCATCCTATTGCTTCCCCATCCCGCACTGCTCACCCCACTGTTTCCCCATCCCGCACTGTTCACCCCACTGGTTCCCATCCTGCACTGTTCACTCTCCGCTCTGGTCTGGATGAGGCTCGGAGAGCCATGCTGTCACACCTGCCATCCTGCCACCCCTCCCCACCCCGCCTTGCGCAGGTGGCCTTCTCTCGCTGCAGGGCGCCGTGAAGAGACCTTCTCACCCCGCCAAGATAGAGGCACATCTACAAGTAGGATATTTACAAGGACATGCACCTTGCTCTTGTTTTGTACGGTACTTGTGTGTGCGTGTGTCGATATATAAGAGCTGCGGGGTGGGTTTGGGCAAGGCTAGGCACGGGGTGGGTTTGGCCTAGCCTTGGCGCCTGCAAGCCCGGTTACTGTTCATGCCGCCCGGCTGCTGTTTATGCCGCCCGGTTACTGTTCCTGTCGCCTGCTTACCGTTCCAGCCGCCCGGTTATCGCTCCAGCCGCCTGGTTACCACTTCACCAGCCTGGTAATCGCTCCAGCTGCCCGGTTAATGTTCCAGCCGCCCAGTTACTGCTATGGCCACCTGGTTACTGTTGCTGCCGCCCAGCTGCTGTTCGTGCCGTCTTGTTACTGTTCCAGCCACCTTCTGACAACATGAACAGGAACAGGAACATGAACAGGAACAGGAACCTGAACAGGAACAGGAACAAGACCAGGACCAGGAACCTGAACAGGAACAGGACCAGGACCAGGACCAGGAACAGGAACAAGACCAGGACCAAGACCAGAACCAGAACCAGGAACAAGACCAGGACCAGGACCAGAACCAGGACCATGCCATGCCATGCCTGGGATAGATGCCATGCCAGGGATTGGGGGTTGGGGGGGGCTGTGGGGGGCTGTGAGGGGATTTGGAGGGGATTTGGGGGGGTAGGGGGGCCTTAGGGGGGCCTTAGGGGGGCCTTAGGGGGGCCTTAGGGGGGCCTTAGGGGGGCCTTAGGGGGGCCTTAGGGGGGCCTTAGGGGGGCCTTAGGGGGGCCTTAGGGGGGCCTTAGGGGGGCCTTAGGGGGGCCTTAGGGGGGCCTTAGGGGGGCCTTAGGGGGGCCTTAGGGGGGCCTTAGGGGGGCCTTAGGGGGGCCTTAGGGGGGCCTTAGGGGGGCCTTAGGGGGGCCTTAGGGGGGCCTTAGGGGGGCCTTAGGGGGGCCTTAGGGGGGCCTTGGGGGGGCATGGGGGGGTTTCATCTCCCCTCTCGCTATTGTCACTCTCTTTATTGTCCACGCTCTGCGTTATAGTACCCCTTGTTTGCTCTACGTATATCATACATGCAGTACAGTACTTGCAGGAAAACATGCAATCGGAGGCAGACAAACTGTTTGAACTCCGAGCGAGAGAGAAGAGGAGGCATATACACACAGATGATGAAAACATCCTGCAATCCCACCTTCCGAGCGGCAAGGATACACCGATACCTAGCAGCACGCTCTAGCACGGTGACATCCCCCAGTCCACCACAATAGAAGGGGTAGTAGACAGATGCTGGATGGGAGATGCAGTGGCATGGCGGATCAAGCTGCAGTGGCTGTGGCAAGTGCAGGAGCTGAGCAGAGTCCAAGCGTGGTAGACAGGTGCTCGACAGGAGACGACAAGGCAGATCAAGCTGCAGTGGCTGTGGCAAGTGCAGGAGCTGAGCAGAGTCCAAGCGTGGTAGACAGGTGCTCGACAGGAGACGACAAGGCAGATCAAGCTGCAGTGGCTGTGGCAAGTGCAGGAGCTGAGAAGAGTCCAAGCGTGGTAGACAGGTGCTCGACAGGAGACGACAAGGCAGATCAAGCTGCAGTGGCTGTGGCAAGAGCAGGAGCTGCATCCGATTCCTCATCACTTCCACCTCCCCCAGATGAGCCTCCCTTGCTTCCTCCCCCTTGGCCCTCCTCTCCCTTCCCTCCCGCCTTCTCTCCTCCCCCCTCGTTATCCTGCAACCACCGCTCCCACGAGCCCTCCCCTTGCAGTATGTGGGCCCCACACCCCGGTACCCCGTCCTCGCCCTCCTCCCCCTCGTGCCCCACCGATGCCTCGTCCAGCACCACTGCTTCCACCAGAGAGCTGGGGACCTGGTGGGGATGGCAGGGATGGCAGGGACGGGAAGATCAGGCTTGGAAGAGCAGGGATAGGAGGGATGGATGGATGATGGCAGAGTGCAGGTTACCCCGTCGCCCCCCTCCTCCCCCTCGTGCCCCACCGATGCCTTGTCCAACACAACTGCCTTCACTAGACTGCTGGGGACCTGGTGGGTTGGGGCATGAGATGACGGATGGGCGTGGAATGAGGGCAATGATCAAGGACACAGTTGCACACCGGCTTGCCCTCTTCCCCTTCCTCCCCCTCGTGCCCCACCGATGCCTCGTCCAGCACCACTGCTTCCACCAGATTGCTGGGGACCTGGGGAGTTGGGGTGGGAAGGACGGAATGGAGGGATGGATGGAGGAAAGCAGCGAGCAGGTTAACCCCACCTCCCCTCCGAGCCCCCACTGATACCTCATCCAACAACATTGCCTTCACAACAATACCAAGGTCCACTGGCGATCACAGTACCTCATACACAGCCTTGGTAACTGCCGTACGTACCTCAAGCAGTGCCTCGGTAACTGCTGTACGTACCTCATACACAGCCTTAGTAACCGCCGTACCTTTTGTTAGCCTGTTACACCGTACCCCGTACATAGGCCTGGTGAGTACCGTATCTATTACATTGTACCTCATACAGAGGCTCAGTAACCGCCATACCTCATACATAGCCTCGGTAATCATCATACCTCATACACAGCCTCGGCAGCCACCATACCTCGTACATAGCCTCGGCAGTCGCCATACCTCGTACATAGCCTCGGCAGTCGCCATACCTCGTACATAGCCTCGGTGAGCAGCCCCTCCAGCAGCGATCGCAGCCCCCTGGCCCCCGTGTTTCGCGCTGCTGCTCTGCGCGCTATGGCCCTCACTGCCCCCTCCGTCATGTGCAAGCGGGCCTGAGTGGGTGGAGTGGAAGGGAGGGCAGGAAGAGATGAGATGGAGATGGCACGAGGTCATGGAAAAGGGCAAGAATGGGTGCTGTACTCCACGCAATGGCCCTCACTGCCTCCTCTGTCATGTGCAGACGGGCCTCAGTAAGAGGGGAGGGGAGGATTGGGAGAGCATGAGGACAAGGAAGAAGGCAACACTGAGTGCTATTCTGCATCCTGTAGCTTTGCAAATTGCACTTGCTTGCTAACCGAGAACTGTCTGGATTTCTTATTTATACAATAGAAAACACAATGCTCGTGACCCACAACCAGCAGCCCACACTGCACTCACGTTGTTCATGGCCAATAGCTTGGCGAATTGCTTGCTGAGGGCGTTCTTGGGCTTTAAGAGAACCTGCAAGTGAGAGCCACACCGAGAGGAGAGAACGAGTACGGAGAAGGAGCAGGAGGGTGGGGAGAGGGATAAGAATCGGGTAGTGTTTCAGGGGTTACAACCCGCGGGCCAAGAACTTCAACCTTAGGAAGCTTGGTTGGAGCGAGCAACACAATTGGCCAAGATTTTGGGTGCGAGGGCCAAACTCAACCAAGGTTAGGAAGGTTGAGGCAATTTGGGCCTTCTTGGCCCTCCGGTTTTAAGAACGTAAATTTTCTGGGCAGGGATTAGGAAAAGAAGATGGACCAAAATACGTGTCGAATCATGCAAGGAAAGCCACTCAGCTCTGTATATAGACATAATTCGAAGTGCATAAGAAAGGTCCTTTGCTTCCACCTGCATCAGTTGCCACCTGCACCAGTTGCCACCTGCACTACACCTACCTGCACATGTTGCTCTTTTGTGAAAGCACGCAGCCCCATGAGCACCAGCTGTTGTTACCAAAGCCTACACACACCAGTCATTACCCGCACCAGTCATTACCCGCACCAGTCATTACCCGCACCAGTCATTACCTGCACCAGTCATTACCAGCACCAGTCATTACCTGCACCAGTCATTACCTGCACCAGTCACTACCTGCACCAGTCATTACCAGCACCAGTCACTACCTGCACCAGTCATTACCTGCACCAGTCATTACCTGCACCAGTCATTACCTGCACCAGTCATTACCTGCACCAGTCATTACCTGCATCAGTCACTACCTGCATCAGTCATTACCTGCACCAGTCATTACCTGCACCAGTCATTACCTGCACCAGTCATTACCTGCATCAGTCATTACCTGCATCAGTCATTACCTGCACCAGTCATTACCTGCACCAGTCATTACCTGCACGAGTTGCTCCTCTGTGAGCGCATGCAGCCCCACCAGCACGGGGAATCGCCCCACAAACTCAGGGATGAGCCCATAGGCTATCAGATCCGTGCTCTCTGCCTGCCGTTCCAGAGGGGTAGGGAGGGGTGGGGACGGGTGGGGAGGGATGTTGAACGATGGGGAGGGAGGATCTGGAGGGGTATAACAATAACACAAGGAATCGCCCCACAAACTCGGGGACGAGCCTGTAGGCTACCCGATCTGTGCTCTCTGAGTGCAGTTGATGAGCAAAAAAAGACGGGGGGGGGGGGGGGGGGGGGGGGGGAGATACGGGAATTGCGGGTAGAGAGACAACTTTTGAGGCGCCTCAAAAGTGCTCTCTGCGAGCCGTTGATACAAAAAAAGGGGGGAAGGGGGTTTGCGGGGTGGCGGGGAAAGGATGGTTGAAGGAAGAGCACGCATCAACTGCAGCAGGTGGCTTATAGGACAGTGAAAAGCAGCTCTCAAAAGCAGCACGCCCACAAGCACACACAGCAAGTGTTGCAAGCATGGATCGCTGGCACACGCGCTAAAACAATGACAAAACAAAACAAAACAAAACAAAACCCAACCAAACAATCAAACCAACAAACAAATCAACCAAAAAAACAAACAAACAAACCAACGGTATAGAGTTAGCACTCACCGATTGCAGCAGCGAGCCGGCAGTGCGGGCGTCAAGCACCGATCGGTTGCGCAGCGATGCGCGCACGGGGGCCCCGAAGCCGATGGATGACTTGTGCTTCCTGCACGCAGCAAGGTAATATTGGGATTTGAGTCATGGAATGCAGTCAGTCTCATGTCTGCTTGCAATGATTGCAGCAATGTCACACGGGGGCCCCGAAGCCGATTGATGACTTGCGCTTCCTGCAACAAATGAATGGTAATAGAGAGAGTCAAGACATGCAGTCAAGACAACATTGTATGTGCTTGCAGTGCTTGCAGAGTTGCGCGCTTAGGAGCTCTGAGGGCTAGCATAGCACGGCCAACGAAAGGCAGGAGATACATTCCTAACATTGACTGCAGACAATCAGACCGATTCAAACCGCAGTCAATGTTAGAGTCAAACTGCAGACAATTATTGAAAGTCGTTTCTAACATGTGGGTGGGTCATCAGAGTAGGCAAAGTAGTTAAGATGGGACTGCATTCCTGACATTGCCTGCATACACAGTTGTAGCACACACTGCTGCGGCGAAGACAATCGCACTGAAAGGCGAGAAACGGTGGCTTCATTTTCCCTGCCCCAAAACCATGGTTGCGCACCTTCAGTGCGATTGTCTTTTCTTCGATTTTTTTTTTTTAGGTCATAACTGACGACAGCAGACGTATCAGTGAGTGCATTTCGAGTCAGCAAATTTTGAAGGAATTCTCAAAAACCTGACAATAGCAGACGTATCAGTGAGTGCATTTTGAGTCAGCAAATGTTTTGAGAAATCTCAAAAACCTGACGATAGCAGACGTATCAGTGAGTGCATTTTGAGTCAGCAAATGTTTTGAGAAATCTCAAAAACCTGACGGTAGCAGACGTATCAGTGAGTGCATTTTGAGTCAGCAAAAGCAGCCTCCGCCTCACCTCTCTGCAATCGTCTTTTCCAGATCCACGAATGCCCCTCCACAGATGAAGAGAATGTTCTGTGTGTCCAGCTGGCGGGGTGGGATAAGGGGAAGCATTGGGGTGGATGGGGCATCGGGCATGTGGCTTGGGGCGTGGGGGTGGGAATAGCAGGCAGCGGCAGTGGAGGGCAGATGAAGAGAATGTTCTGTGTGTCCAGCTGGTGGGTTGGGAGGGGAAAGGCAAAGTCAAGTATGGGAAAGGGGGTATTGGGCTGGGAATGGCTGGCACGGCAAGCAACAGAGGTGAGGGTTGATGAAGAGTATGTCTTGTGTGTCAACCTGGTGGGATGGGTGGGGCAAAGAAAGGGGAGGTATGCGGGAGGGGAATGGCAGGCAGTAAGCATGAATGGAGACAACTCCTGACGCGCCTCAAAAGTTGGAATAAGAGGTGGTAGACATACTCTTCATCGACCCTCACCTCTGTTGAGGTAAATTCCAAGGGGATGAAGGTCGCTAGCCATGCTAACAAACACACTCCGACTTGGAATGCGCCTCAAACGTATCTAGCCATTGAGCAGAAACCCTTTCCGCTCTGTGTGATATTCGTTGTGATTTCCAGGCATTCGGCACAGAAACACCCGGTATCGTTGTTCTACCCCCGTACCCCTGCACCCCTGCAACCCTCGCACTCCGTGTTTGAAGAAGTGTTTTGAGACGTCTCAAAACAGAAACACCCGGTATCGTTGTTCTACCCCCGTACCCCTGCACCCCTGCAACCCTCGCACTCCCGCACCCCTGTAGCCCGTACCTGTATGAACTCGCCTCTTGGATTCTTCCTCCCTGTTTTCTCTGGCACATTGATCACCTGCACCCGGGAGAAGAGGGGAGGAGCAGGGGGAAGACCGGCACATGAGACTTACAAGGCGCCCTAAATCTCTGAAGGACTTCCTCCCTGTTTTCTCTGGCACATCAATCACCTGCACCCAGGGCCCAGGGGGAGTGAGAAGATCCGCTCCGCACCAGTAGGTAGAGGGACACACACGTGTGACAAACGGGCTCATGGATGCTCACACCACCCTCACAGCGCCCCTCAGCATCCTCAACAACGGCGGCCGCACGCCCTCCCCTGCCACATCTCAAACGCCAATAGACCTGTGTCTCTCATCCCACCGTCCTTCAAACCAGCTCACATCATATCCCCTTACAGCCCACCCCTTCCCCCCACTCACAGCGCCCTCGAGCATTCTCAACAGCGCCTGCTGCACGCCCTCCCCTGACACGTCCCTCCCATCCCGCCTCCTCCAACCTCCTCACATACTCCCATACCCTCCCTCCCCCCCCCCCTTCTTTACTCACAGCGCCCTCGAGCATCCTCAAAAGCGCCTGCTGCACGCCCTCCCCTGACACGTCCCGTGTGCTCGTGATGCCCTCTGCCTGTGCAGTCATACAGGGCGCGGAGATGAGAGAGGGGGGAGAGAGGAATCAGTAAGACACTTATTGGATAAGACACTCCAACACGCCTTTCCCTGACACGTCCCGTGTGCTCGTGATGCCCTCTGCCTGTCCAGGCACGCACAGAGGGGAGAGCGGGGGCTGTCCAGATTAAGCTCATGTTTTTAGTGCGCGTGTCAATCTCATCTATGTTTACAATGCCCTTCTGCGCTGCTGCTCTGGTGGGGTGGGGAGCACCTACTTAGCGCCAGTGCCGCTAGTGCCCCTAGTGCTGCTAGCAAGCCTACCTTCTTGGTAAGCTTGTCGATCTCGTCGATATACACGATCCCTGCTGCGCTGCTGCTTTAGTGGGGGGGGGTTGCATCTCCTAGTGCCCGTGCAGCTAGTGCCGCTAGTGCTGCTAGCGAGCCCACCTTCTTGGTAAGCTTGTCGATCTCGTCGATATACACGATGCCCTGCTGCGCTGCTGACACACTGAAATTGGCGCTCTGCGTAAGACAAATGGACAGTCACGCACACACACACACCACCATGGGAATCACACACAGAACAGATAGTCATGAACATGCAAGCATGCACATCAGGAGCAAAATGAATGTAACTTGTAAGGAGCAGTTGAGCTACGTGAAGCCACCCGGGGTTGGGACCCGGGTGCAGCAACCCCTACCCTCACCTCCACTTGTAGGTGCAGCAACTTGTAAAATATCATCTCCGCGTCCTCTGCACGACAAGCTAACACCTCTACTGACCCGTCTCACCTCTTCCAAACCCCCTCACCTGCAGCAGCTTATAGAGAATCATCTCCACGTCCTCTCCCACATACCCCGCCTGCACGAGGAGCAGAAACACTAACATAACATAACCCCCCCACCCCCCACTCCCTGTCCCAACCCCAACAACCCCTTCTGTCCCTCACCTGCAGCAGCTTATAGAGAATCATCTCCACGTCCTCTCCCACATAACCAGCCTGCACGACAAACAGCACCAGAGAATGAGAAATAGGTGAGCGTTGGCTCAGGAAACACAGTTCTAGTAGAAAGCCCGTTGTCCTGCATGCCACTGTAACGAAGTGACCTTTGAGGCGAATCACGAGTCATCGTGTGGGAATTGGCTCAAGAGCAACGGTGATAGTAATAATATGCCCCTTGTCACGCACTCCCTAAGTGGCATACCATGACACGGGAGAGTTAACCCTACTGGTTAACCATACTGGTGAACTCTCCCGTGTGAAAGAGTGTGGAAACCAGGCTGTATCCAACCTGAGAATCAGAGAGACGCAGCTGAGTGTGGAAGTTGATGAGAGTGGCGGTATGAGACGCAGCTGGGTGTGGAAGTTGATGAGAGTGGCGGTATGAGACGCAGCTGGGTGTGGAAGTTGATGAGAGTGGCGGTATGAGACGCAGCTGGGTGTGGAAGTTGATGAGAGTGGCGGTATGAGACGCAGCTGGGTGTGGAAGTTGATGAGAGTGGCGGTATGAGACGCAGCTGGGTGTGGAAGTTGATGAGAGTGGCGGTATGAGACGCAGCTGGGTGTGGAAGTTGATGAGAGTGGCGGTATGAGACGCAGCTGGGTGTGGAAGTTGATGAGAGTGGCGGTATGAGACGCAGCTGGGTGTGGAAGTTGATGAGAGTGGCGGTATGAGACGCAGCTGGGTGTGGAAGTTGATGAGAGTGGCGGTATGAGACGCAGCTGGGTGTGGAAGTTGATGAGAGTGGCGGTATGAGACGCAGCTGGGTGTGGAAGTTGATGAGAGTGGCGGTATGAGACGCAGCTGGGTGTGGAAGTTGATGAGAGTGGCGGTATGAGACGCAGCTGGGTGTGGAAGTTGATGAGAGTGGCGGTATGAGACGCAGCTGGGTGTGGAAGTTGATGAGAGTGGTGGTATGAGACGCAGCTGGGTGAGAGTGGCCTTTGAGTCAATTAAGAGTCACCTCGTTAAAAGCGCACCTGAGTGAGAGTGGTGGCATCAGCAATGGCGAATGGCACGTTGACAAACCGAGCCAGAGTCTTGGCCAGTAGGGTCTTGCCTGCACGCGTTGGGGGGGGGGAGGGGATAGTCACCCACCAGTGTGTGGGGGGAGGGGACTTTTTTGAGTCGACTCAAAAATCAGCAATGGCGAATGGCACGTTGACAAACCGCGCCAGAGTCTTGGCCAGTAGGGTCTTGCCTGCATGCACTGCACCCAAGGGACAGCAGCGGTTGAAATACCGCCCGCAAAGAATAAGGTAGGGAGTGGCCTGGGATGTTGACCACATTGCCATCACAGGCCGGACAGGCGCGGAGCGGGTAGGGAGTGGGCGGATGGAGTGGAGCCGATAAGGTGAGTTGACAGGTGGGGAGTGGGATAAGTTGAGTGGAGAGAGACACACGCGTGAGCGAGATGAGAAGCACGTTGCTCATGAGACCGCTGGGCGACAGGAAGGCAAGAACGCATACACGCATTCATGAGCCTGTTAAAATCTTCCCTCCAATAAACCCTCTGGGCAGCCCTTGCTTGACAGGCGATAGTACCTGAACAGCTGTATGCGAGCGACATGATCGGGGCCCGTGCGAGGGACCCATGGGTCAGTCAGTCGGGCCCATCGAGTTTTGAGACGACACGACGCCTGAACCCGTCCAAACACCTACTGCTTCCGATGGGCTGCATCCAACCACCCACCCACCAGAGCCTGTGGGTCCCTCCCATGAGCACCACGTTGCTCTTCCCCACCTGCACCTCGTCCCATGCTTGCCCTACCCTATGCTATTCCGCTGCTCCCATGCGGCCCTGCCCCCCGTATGCTGCAGTGGTGATTCTTGCACCCACCTGAACCCGTGGGACCCATCAGCAGCACGTTGCTCTTCTCCACCTCCACCTCGTCCTCCTCACCGCCCCCCACCAGGTTCTCGCACGCCCTGCAGGGGGGAAGAGAGGTGGAAGAGAGGGCGACGGGGGGCATAGGGAGAGGGTAGGGAGTGAGGGGCACGTTGCTCTTATCCACCATGGGGGTGAGCAAGAACAGAAGTGAGTGAGTGAGGGAGGGCGGACAGTGGGCAAAATGTGGAGCAAGCCTAATCTCTTTCCCCCATGTGAGGTGTAGAAAAGGGGATCGTTCAGGTAGATGACCGGTCACTCCCTCTCCCTCTCCCTCTTATCCTTGCTTGAATCACTTTAAAGAACATTTCCTCTCCCTCTCCATCCCTCACCACACACAGCACACAGCCCCTCTCCCACTTCCTCTCCTCCCCCTCTCACCCCTCTGAACCTCCTCTCGCCTTTTTTTTACCCCTTCTCACCCCTCTGGCAGGTTGGCAAGTCTTTCCCGCTTCTGGTTTTCAAGAAAGATGCGCTTGTAGTGATTGTAAACTGCCACTGCCAAAACCTGCAGCAAAGGGTAGCATACGGGGATCGGAAAGGGCTCGTAACGAAATGAGCTTATAGAGAAGATGCGCTCGTAGTGGGTACACCACCGCCACTGCAAACATTCGGTTACAAATAAAATCAAAAGAAGAAAAAATACTGCTCTTAGCGAGTCTGTGACTGTAAACCTGTTACACCACCAGCCTAACAGTAACTGCCACGTCACCAGCACCCGCTCACCTTTTTCGCATTATCCTGCCCGATCACAAATTCATCCAGAGCTGCCCGGATCTGCTTGGGCGTGGGCAGATTCTCCCCCAGATTCGCCCCTCCCCAGTTGTGCTCTGTCCCGTCCCCCCCTCCCCCTGCCGCCCCAAAACACGGCACATGCCCCTCCCTCCCCTCTCGCCCTTCCCGCCCTTCCCGCCCCTCCCTCCCCTCCCCTCCCCCGCTCTGCTGGCCCCTCCCCCGCTTCTCCCCCGCACCCGCGCCAGGCGCGGGGGGGATCTGCGTGGGCGCGGCCAGGGGGGACGGGGGCGGAGGCGGGGCGGGGGGGCCTCTGGGGGCGTGCAGGAGGGGGGAGGAGAAGCTAGGGGGATACGCGCTGGCGCTGCTTCCGCCACCGCCAGGGCTTCTATTCCTTCCGCTGCTGCCCACCTGCTGCCCCTCACTCCGCCCCTGCCCCTGCCTTTGCGCTTTCTTTTCTCCCCCCGCGCCTGCCTGTCCCTGCCCCTGCTGCCCCTGTCCCTGCGCCCACGGGTGCCCCCCCCACCCCTGCAAACTCGCCTTGAACCGATTCACATACTCCTCCCGCGCATCCCTCCGCGCGCTCCCCCCTTCCCCCCCGCTCGCCCCGCCCATCATCCCGTCCAGCTCGCTGCGCGCAGACCTGCCGCCCGGGCGGCCGTCTTGGCGGCTAAGTTGCCGCCCAAAGCGGGACCACTGCCACGCGTCAGAGGCGGGGGGCTCGGGGGGAGTGACGGCGGAAAGGGGGAAGACATGTTTCCAGTCCGCTTCATACCAGTCCGCCTCCACAAACTCCCCCACTCTCGCGCCCCCCCCGGCCTTGCCCTTCCCCAATCCTTCCCCCTTCCCCCCGCTTGCGCACTGCCCTTCCGCCGTCACCTGCGGCTGCCCCTCGTCTTTCCCCTTCCGCCCATTCTCCGCCTCCCCTGTCCCTCCCGCCACCGGCCTGTCGGTGAATCGCTGGCATTGGCGGCAGAACAGCACCGCGCGCCCGCTCGCGCGCGCCTCCGCCGCGGACATGGGCGGAGATAGCGCGGACGCGGACGGGGAGGAGGGGGAATGGGGGAAGGCAAGCGCGGGGAAAGAGAGGAGCGAGAGGGGCGCGCGGCAGTCGGGGCACAGCAGCTCCTCGTCCCCGCGCCCGCTCCCCCCTCCGCCTCCGTCACCCGCTCCCGCCGCTCCGCCACCCCCGGCAACCACACCGTCGCTTCCGCCTCCCCGCACACCAGCCCCGCCCTCCCCCCCATCCCCGCCCGCTCCCCTCTCCGCCGTCGCCGCTATTTCCACCCACACGGGCACCGCCCACGCTCCCCCCGGCCCTTCCAGGCGCGCGTTGGGCCACGCGGGGGTGAAGCTAGCGGCAATTCCGCTCCCTGTGCGACGAGGGTTGGGCGGGGCGGGGAAGCTGTTGAACGAGAGCGGGAAGTCGTCCGCCCATTCCGCTCCCTGTGCGACGATTCGAGGCGACGCCACGTCGGATCGCGACGATGCTGCGAAAGTGTGCGACGAAGGGACGAGGGCGTCAGTTGAGGCGACTGCTTCGTTTACCGAATAGTCCACGACGTACCCTTTATTAGTTTCTCTGTTACGATACACGTTCCGTCCTTCTCCCTCTGCGACGAACCAGCGACCACCGTGCGACGACGACATCGCGGGCGACACGTCGACGAACGGTCGCATGAAATCCTCGACTGGCTGCGACAGGCATCGCAGCGCGCGACGCCTTGACCTGTCGCCGTCGCTCGAACGAGAGCAACCGTCTCCTAAACCGTCTCGACCATCGCGGGAGACCCGAAACGCTGCCACGTCATTCGGTCCATCTGAGCAGCCGCCACGTGTCGAGAGCGCACGGGCGGACGTGTAACGACCCAGAAAACCCGCGGAGGAGGCGACGCTTACGGGTGGTAACGCTTTGCGACTAGCGGCGAGGGGATACGAGAGGCGAGCGGTGTGTAGGGCGAGGCGAGGGGTGTGTTGCGACGGTAGTGAGTGGCGGCGACGTGCAGGGATGGACGGTGCGACGCTCGGCGACGAGAGATTGGCGGCAGGCGACGACAGTCCGCGTCGCAGCAGCAGCAGCGAGGAGTAGGACGAGTAGGACGGCACGCGATTGGATTCTAGGGATGCTGACGTGGCGTAAGATAGGGTGCGCGATAACAGCGAAAGCGCTCGCCTTCTGTCCGCTCCTCCTCCCATTCTTTGCTCCCGGCTAGCTCGAGCCTGCCTGTCGTTAAATGGATTCAAGCAACGAAATTGCGAGCAGTGGGTTGTGGCGGTTTGGGTAGAAAGGGATTAGTAATCTGCAGCGTGCGACGCGAGAAAGGCAAGAAGTGTTTACAGCGAGAGATTATAAATCCCGCTGCCCCTGGGCGCGCAGGGAAGCAGCGACTAACGAACGGCCTGCCGAGAACCGCGTTTGACGCGACGACGACAGCCCGAATACTAAGCGACTTCTCGCCGTTTCTCTGCGTGCACTATGTTAGCAGCAGAATGTCCAGATTCGTGCTTTTGGATTGAGCCAAACTCTGCCTGCTGATGTGAGCCAAGGCAACCTACCACATCCGCTCGGACGTATCGGTGTGACTCGTGACCTGTGAGGGAAGTGAGTTGGGAAGGGTGTTGCTTGCTTGTCCCCTTTTATTTTTGCGAACGGAGACCAAGCAGCAAATTTCGGAAAAGGGGGGGAAGGCAGCATGGCTCGCAACGCAAAAACTTTTACTGCTCGAATAGCTAACTCCCCCTATAGAGTGTAGAGTCTTTAAGCACTGCCAGGTGAGGAGAAATACTGTCTTGAAACTCGGAAACACGTTTCGCAAACTTCATCTAGTGTCGCTTTTCCAAACAGATTACCCCTGCTTCGACAGCGTGGAAAGATCAGCCCGTGACATGTTATGCGTGTCAAGGTTGCGCACAGAACCTGACCTGATACTTCATTGGCTCAGGGAGTATCTCATTCAACCAATAAAACAGTTTCCCCCCAACACCTCCACTTCTCCCAGCAACCAATCCAATCGGGGATTGGTACGATTGTACGTCTATGAGATAAGTTCGTACGTCGTATAAATCTCTTGGTTTACCGAGTGTTTCTGAATCGCGGACAACGCCGCACCTAGAACCTACAGATATCATCCAGCCCTCCCCGCTGTGCCTTTTAGATTTGATCAGCTTCGCCAGCTGTAGTTGCAATCTGGCCGCTGCGCTCCCTCCTGCTGTCTAGCGTCACCTCTGTTGTCTCTCCCCACTTGAATCTCACCGCGTTCCAGGGTCGTGCCCGTGGCAATAAGCCAAACATTAGCGGTGAGGGCCGGCGAAATGGCCAGCATTGTTCGTCCGTTGTTCCGAGCCGCGGCTCTGCCCAACCGGTTAGTCTGTAGAAGCAATTCGAACCAATCCTTACCAATGCGCACATACGATCCCATCCTCCTTCCTTCGTCCACTCCCCTCCTGCCACGTGTCACGCGCGGAAGCCCCGCCATCGCCGGCGTCCGCACCAGAATAGGGCAGGCGCGCGCACTGGCAGCGGCAAGCTCGCAAGGCGGAGCGGAAGCGAGTGGCGGAGCGGGCGCGGGGGGCGCGGAAGGCGAGGTTGGCGCGGGGAGCGGGCCGCGGCTGGTGATATACAGCCGCGAGGGGTGCTGCCTGTGCGACGGGCTGAAAGAGAAGATCGACACGGCGCTGATGATGGGCACTGAGAGCAGTGCGCTGGAGGGACTGCAGATTGAGGTGCGCGGAAGGGGGGGAGAGAAGGCGGAATGCGCATTGGGAATGCGGGGGGTTGGAGAATCGACACGGCGCTGATGATGGGAACTGAGAGCAGTGCGCTGGAGGGACTGCAGATTGAGGTGCGTCGAAGGGGGAATGCGGGGGGTTGGGGGGGGGGAGAGGAAATGGGGGAGAAAATCGACACGGCGCTGCTGATAGGGACTGAGAGCAGTGCGCTGGAGGGATTGCAGATTGAGGTGCGTGCGTGGTGGGGGGGAAAGGGAGAATGCGCATGGGGAAATGTGGGAAATACGCGGGATTGATACGGCGCTGCTGATGGGGTCGGAGAGCAGTGCTCTCGAGCGATTGCAAATTGAGGTGCGCAGGAGGGGGGGAGAGGGGGAGGAGGGGGGAAGGGGGAGAGGCTAGGGGATGGGGTGGGGATGATGGGGGAGAGGAAGAGGGGAAGGAGTGTTGGGGAAGATCAAGGCGGCGCTGCTGCTGAGTGGGTCGGAGAGCAGTGCAGGTAGAGGTGCGCTGGGGAGAAACCCATCAAAATCCCCCATTCTCCATTCCCCATTCCCCCATTCTCCATTCCCCATTCCCCCATTCTCCATTCCCCATTCCCCCATTCTCCATTCCCCATTCCCCCATTCTCCATTCCCCATTCCCCCATTCTCCATTCCCCATTCCCCATTCCCCGTTCCCCATTCCCCATTCCCCATTCCCCATCCCCCGTTCCCCATCTCCCATTCTACATCCCCCATTTTCAATCTCACATTCCCCATCCCCCATTTCCCACCACCCATTCCCCATCACCCGTTCCCCATTCTCCTTTCCCCATTCCCGCACCCCCCATTCCCCATGCCCCATCCCCCGTCCCCCATTTCCCATCCCCCATTCCCCATCCACCACTCCCTATTCCTCAATCCTCATTCCCCCCCTCACCATCCCCCGCTCCCCTTCCCCCATGCCCCATGCCCCAACCACCCCTTCTCATTCTTTATCCACCATCCCCAATTTCCCAACCACCATTTCCCCCGTCCCCCATCCCCCGATCCCCCTTCTTTGTCCCCCATTCCCCAGCCACAAATCCCTATTCCCCCTTCCCTGTGTATGTGCACGCACTGTGGCAGGTGCGCGACATAACAGCGAGGCAGGAGTGGATGGAGGCATATCAGTACTCGTCTTGCCATAACTTGACACATTCCCTTTCCCATGGCTTGTCTGTGCATGTGCTCTTCCCCTGTGCATGTGCTCTTCCCCTGTGCATGTGCATGCAGGTGCGCGACATAACAGCGAGGCAGGAGTGGATGGAGGCATATCAGTACGAGATTCCAGTCATGATGAGAGTGACGGTGGACCAATCAGGGAACGCTGTAGAGGTAGGCCTACTTGCTCTCTTAGATAGATGCATACCAGTATGATGTGCGGGACGGTGGACCAATCAGGGAAGGATGATGAGGTCAGCATGCTTGCATGCTGCTTGGCAGGGCCACCCTCCTACCTTGCTTGACATCCTTCGACATCTCACTTATATATATCTATATATTTTGTGTAAATATATGTATATACATATATATGTACAGATATATATATGTGTAAATGTATGTATGTATATATATCAGCTCCCTCCATTCCCTTCCCCCTCCCTCCCAGCCTCTCTCCGCCCCTCTCCCAGACCCTCACTGTTGGAAACAGAATTGAGAGGAGTGACTGAACTGAAAGGGCCGGGTGGCACAAATAGCTAACCTTAATCTAGGCTAACAAATCCAGCACAAACAATTTGACACTCATTCCCCGCCAGTCTCCCCAGGCATCAGTGGAGCGAGTGAGGGAGGCACCAGAGGTAGAGGCTGACTCTTAGTGGCTACCCCAATTCTTCCCTCCATCCTCCCTCCCACTTGTCTTCCCTCCCCTCCAGACCCTCATTCCCCGCCAGTCACTCCGGGCGTCAGTGGAGCGAGTGAGGAAGGTGCTAGAGGCTAACTCTTAAGTGAATTCCCCCTTTCATTTCCCCACCTCCCTCCTCCCACCCGCCGCCTCCTCCCCACCAGACTCTCATTCCCCGCCAGTCACCGCGTGCATCAGTGGAGCGAGTGAGGAAGGCACTAGAGGCCGCATTCTCAAGTTCAGCCTGAGCCCCGCCTCCCTCCTTCTGCACATGCTCTCAGTGCCAGCTGCCATAGGTTCTTCTGTTCCTTCAGTTGACATTTGACGGAAGCACATGGCAACAGGGCCGACTACGGCTAGCACTGGTTCTGTTCTTGATGGTCAAAACAAATAAAAAGGCAGCACCCCTTATCCTGAGACAGTATTTCATGAAACTTTTGCTCAGACCTCTGCATACCTTTTATCGTCCTCCAGATCCTGTTCTGTTCAGTCCTCTTCATAAGCACCCCAAATTATGCTCTCTAGGCCAGGACTTGTCAGCATTCCTGTCACCTGTGTATAATGCTCTAACAGATTGCAATGAAGAAATTTGTAGTCTTTGATTGCATTCATTCATTTATTCCTTTTGTTGCTCAAAGTACAGGTCAGGTTATTTCCTAAATTAATACGGTACAAGCCAGTTAGGCTTATCACCAGCTAGGCTATCTCCCTGCAAGGAAATCCCCTTTTCCTTACTTCACGTCCCTGCTCAACGCGTTCATCACTGTAGCACCTCAGTCAGCACCGTTACCACTCACGACCATCGCATCATTCATCATCCCGCCCTTTTCGCACATCGCATCCCGACCTCACGGCTCGGCTGGTAACCCGCGCTCCGGGACTACGCTTCGACACTTTCCCAACCTCAGTCCCAGGCTCGTCGCGCGACCATTACCGTTACCACTATAGTTTCGCTATATAATGTTCGCTCATGCCTTCGCTCAATTGTATTCTTGCTTCGATAGTGCAATTCTCGTTCGTTCACTCAATTGCACTCGTAACACTTGGTATTCAGA